GGGGTTATTATGACAGCATGATACAATTTTGAAATAGGTAGACTATTATGCAGAACATACAAAGCAAGCAGCTTTATTTAACTCATGTAAATAAGAGGCTGCATTAATTTGTTTCCGCTAATTTCCATATTTTTAAAATAACATCATTTTGAGATAAGAACTATTTACGCAACTAGCACCCTATTTTAAAAAATGAGGATTGAATTATTAAATAATAAAAAGAACATTATTTTCTCATTATTAAATTAAATAATACTTTATTTGTATTATTCCAAGCATATGACATTGTATTTACAGCAGACACTCATGCGACTGACCACGTGAGCTGTGGGTTCGTGCGATTACAAAACTCGCTCCTTCACCCTCAATAAATCGCCATCCTAACGCATGAGTTTATCACTGAGGTGCCATGCTCAAAAGAAACAATTTCATCTGAATCGGACTATAGAAGTATTTGTGGATTAGACGGGTGAGAAGAAGACTTCATCATTCCTGCATGTCGGAGCTATGGACATGAGTAATGACGTGTACAGTTACACTGGTGCCGCACGCAGTAGATTACTGTACACTGCACATCCCATCTTCACCGTATTGAGTGTTAAATACTGTACTGTTTAAAGACAAGTATCTGCCTAGTTAAAACCCTGCTTAACCAAATTGCGCCAGTTTGTGACATGCAAAGGCCTTTCTGCCCCAAAACTGAGCAAGTCTGTCTCCGTTAACCCCCTCAACACATCTACAGTTGTGACTAGGTACTCATTGAACTCAAGTTGAACTCGTGTGAACTCACGTTGTGTTTCAGGCGCTACACCACATATGCTTTATTTTCTCAGGATCTGTAATCGTTGAGTGCAATCATCACACACAGATTAGAGAGGAATTCTGAGATCAATGAGCTTGAGCTCTTCTTTGAGCAGACAGACCACACATCAAAGAGAACCTGTGACACATTCACATCAAGAAACTATACAGATTATCCATCCATCCGTCCATCCTCAGAAGCACTTGTCCTCTGTAGATCCAATACTGTGAGAATAAAAGAGCTGATCTTCATGACAGCTGGTTTAGATGAATTACACCCCATAAGGAAAAAATAAGGAAACAATAGCAAAATGGTGAAGTGTTTTTTTGAGTCACGAGACTAATGTTCAGATCGGTGGCAGCTGGTGCCTTGAGCCGACAAATCTCCAGAACAATCACGTCTAAGAAACAGACTAATATCCCATAATCCCATCTAACTGAACGCATTACTGAGCTCAAAGAATAAACATATTTACAATGAACTCACTTTATATTAATGTCTTAAACATTTAAAGGGTTAGTTCAAAAATGAACAAAAATGAATCCCAAAAATGAAAATTTAGTCATTACTCACCCCCATGCTGTACCAACCCCGTAAGACCTTCGTTCGTCTTCGGAACACAAATGAAGATATTTTTGATTAAATTTGAGAGCTGTATAACTACCACATTGGCTCCTAAGGGACTGCCTCTTGACGGCCCAGAAAGTCAATGAAGAAAATGTTTAAATATCCCAAGTGACTACCGTGAAAAAACAAACAAAAATAACGAGTTTATTCGACTATTTCTTTTCTTCCTTGTATGCCAGAAACGAAATTTTCTTAGATTTCCACGACGCATGCGCGAGAATTTCGATCTGAAGTAGTGTAAGCTAGTGTAAGCAGATCGCAATTCTCGCGCATGCGTCGTGGAAATCTAAGGAAGTCTCGTTCTGGCCTATAAGGAAGAAAAGAAATAGTCGAATAAACTTGTTTTTTTTTTGTTTGTTTTCGCACAAAAAGTATTCGCGTCGCTTGATAAACATATGGTTGAGCCACGGTAGTCACTTGGGATATTTAAACATTTTCTTCATTGACTTTCTGGGCCGTCAAGAGGCAGTCCCTTAGGAGCCAATGTGGTAGTTATACAGCTCTCAAATTTAATCAAAAATATCTTCATTTGTGTTCCGAAGACGAACGAAAGTCTTACGGGGTTGGTACAGCATGGGGGTGAGTAATTAATGACTAAATTTTCAATTTTGGGTGAACTAACCCTTTAAATCGATCATTTGATACAGTTAGCCAACTATGGTCACACGTTCAGTCATTGGCAACAGTTCAACAATTCTGTTTCCCCAAAACAATGTTAAAACAAGATATATGTGCTTCAGATCATCATCATCATCATCCTCATCTTCCTCATCCTCACCATCATCATCATCATCTTCATCATCCTCATCCAAATCATCATCCCCATCATCATGATCATCATCATCCTCATCATCATCCTCATCTTCCTCATCCTCACCATCATCATCCCCATTATCATGATCATGATCATCATCATCCTCATCATAATCATCCTCATCCACATCATCATCATCATCCTCTTTATTCAGGACACACATGGTCCAAAAAACACAAACAATAAAACATACCAATACAAAAGAAACAAAAATCCACAACAAATATTTTGATATTTATATACTGAATAGACTCAAAAGCCAGCGGTTCCACACACTGCAGGGAAACCAGACTGGAGTTAGAGTCGGGTTCGTCACTGTTAAAATTATCCCAGATAACCCACACATGCATCTGTACATGCTATTGCGATTTAAGGAGATTACCAGACCGAGAGAATTCAGGATATGACCGTGTCCTGTCCTCCTACTCCTAACACTCATGATATTACTCTTCTTTTCATTGCATATAATGTCAAAGTCTGAGCAATATTGAGAGCAAACGCTCAGCAACTGTTGAAGATGTGCACTATATGGACAGAAGATCAGCAAATCGTCCGCGTACATCAAGTGGAGGATCGTGAACAGCAGAGGTGTGGACATGTTAATATGGGTTGGTAAAACTCATCACTCTTCATAGTTTCTCCAACTAGTGACACATGCTAGTACAGTAAACACAAGCTCACAAAACTCATCTTTACAGTGTAGGGTTGTAGTGTGTTATGAGGTTAATCTCGAAGTTGTTTAGTTGTTTACTCTTGTGTATGGGTGTTCAATTCACTCAGGGGGAGGGTCTCATTATACACAACATTTGATTGGACAAACATTTCTATAGACCTAAGCGCAGGTTGAGTCATAGTCATCTTTCTTCCCAGATGAGGAAGAAAAAAAATCTCAACTTCTTTGGAGTTTACTAGCATACATATACTTAAACATTGAGGGAAATAAATGTTGTGATGTTATTTCCATTAGGAGGTGCATCATTTCTTGGTCCAGATCCTGAATTGAACACAAGAGTCTCCTCCAACACACCGAACACTTTCACTGATATCAAGATCTGGACTAGTGGACATTATTCTTCATGCTCCTCACAACCATTCTCTCACAGTCTGAGTCTTATGAATTTTTACATTGTCATGCTGGAATATGGCCATGATGTTCTTCCTACATGGTTGTTTAAGAGTTGAAAAGCTACACACTCCATTAGAGTTAGAAGAACTGCCAAGAAACACTGCAATACTGATCCAATCACAGACTCTTAGACATTTGCCGATTTAAAGGATTAGTTCACTTTTGAAAAAACTTTTGCTGATAATTTACTCACCCCCGTGTCATCCAAGATGTCCATGTCTTTCTTTCCTCAGTCGAAAAGAAATTTAGGTTTTTGATGAAAACATTCCAGGATTTTTCTCCATATAATGGACTTCAATGGGAACCGGATGGTTCAGGTCCAAAAGACAGTTAATAACAGTTTCAGATGCAGCTTCAAATGTCTTTAAACGACACCAGACGATGAATAAGGGTCTTATCATGCGAAACGATCGGTTATTTCAATGCTTATTCCAAAAATGTAACTTTTCTAAGGACAAATGCTAGCCTTTCTCTATTCTGTGAGGCACGTTTGTAACGTCACGTAGTACGTAATTACGTTCAAAAGGTCACGGGCGACGTAGCTGGAAGTACAGAGTTAGTGTTTACAAGTTGAACGCATAGGTTGAACGTGCAAACTAACTCAAACGCCATTTACAAAAAAAGAATTAAAAGGTAAAACAACGATGTCGGACGATTTTGATTCTGTACTTCCAGCTACGTCGCCCGTGACCTTTTGAACGTAATTACGTATTACGTGACGTTACAAACGCGCCTCACAGAATAGAGCAAGGCTAGCATTTGTCCTTAGAAAAGTTACATTTTTGGAATAAGCTTTGAAATAAGCGATCGTTTCGCATGATAAGACCTTATTTATCGTCTGGTGTCGTTTAAAGACATTTGAAGCTGCATCTGAAACTGTTATTAACTGTCTTTTGGACCTTGAACCATCCGGTTCCCATTGAAGTCCATTATATGGAGAAAAATCCTGAAATGTTTTCATCAAAAACCTAAATTTCTTTTCGACTGAGGAAAGAAAGACATGGACATCTTGGATGACATGGGGGCGAGTAAATTATCAGCAAAAGTTTTTTCAAAAGTGAACTACTCCTTTAAATCCCAACAGTGAGCTTTTTGGCTGGGCAGTGTGTATATATATGTATATGGTAATAATAAAAGTTGACACATATGATCACACTGTTGGGACAGCTGAACAAAGAGCAGCGGGAGAACCACAGCAGTCCTCGAACTGCAGACATGTCTCTACAGAGCTTCCCTTCACTCACACACACACACTCAATACAAGCCTGATCAAGCTCACAGCGATTCCTCACATACTGCTGTAAACACACACACGCGCACGCGGATGAGAGAGAATAGAGATTCTGCAGGATGGCTTCAGGCTGCAGGTTCAGCTCGTCACACTTCTACCTGAGAGTGAACTTATCCTCATCCGAGTCCAAATAAACACTAAAACCCTGTGCATTCCCAACAGAACACACACACACACACACCGACTCAATGTGACGCGACACTGTCACGATATTAGCATCAGATGAACACACGCGGAGAAAACACTGAACCACAAACCTGCAGGTTATTCAAACAAACAGAAAAGTTTTTGCCTTTTTTTCTCTCAATCCACATGAAAGTGTAATGAGCGCCGGTCTTACCTTTGCTCGGCTCACGCGCACATAATCTCCAGTCGCGCGCTGCTGTCAGTGTGTTTGTGTGTGTGTGTGTGATGTTGGAGGGGTGAAAGTCGCTGCCTCCTTCAGTCCCACCCTAAACACACGCACAGCTGTGAACAGTCATCAAGGCCACGATCTAAACTCTCCGTCATATTGGCATTATGACTCATTCCTTCTGTACCAAACAGAAACATAACAGAAACATATATTTTGACAAATTAAACCAAATTAAGATTTAGATTGACAGTCAATTAAGAGTAGTGACACAAACTAACAAAATATGTTCCAAAAAAGTTTTTCTAACATTTCCATAAAGTTATGAAAACATCATCTTCGAATGTTCAGTGAAAAGTTCTTAAAAAAAAAAACATTATTTTTATACGTTTTGAATTGGTTATCGAACATCAAATCATCAAAGCGATCTGAAACAAATAGTAACATTTAACAAATGTTAGGCGAACATCCAACTAAAACACTTCATGAATGATGTATCAATAGTGTTTTTGTGTGTTTTGAGAACATTATTAAAGACCAGATAATTTTGAACAAACCTTCTAGTAACATTGTCAGCCAAAAAAGCTCACGGAGTCCAGGACTGATATAAGATCATGATATCGCTGAAGTCTTGGATGTGCAGGAGTGAGAACAGATTGGTCTATAACAGCTAACCCTCCTCACCAGTCTGATCAAAACACAACAAAGTGGTGATCGTTTTACACTAATTTTAAATAACAATATATTTTACTACATTAAATGGTTTGCAATAATAGCAGAGTGTAAATGATTATACTTATTAAAATAATGAAATGGATGCCTCCGTATTGGATGAACAAAGCCCTCCCTACACCTGTCCCAACCAATAAAGCACTTGATTATTAAACACTCATTAGATACTTTATTTCCACTGTTTTAATTTTTTAATGTTTTTTAAATTGAAAATAAATGCCTCTCCAGTATTTGATGGGAAAGGGAGTGGAGCGAGTTCGGCAAAAGGCAGATTCAAACCTCGGGACGATTTGAGTCGAAACTTTCTGCATCACGCCTTCCTTCTACACTCTTGCTACTGTTGACCTTTCAGAGTCGTGCGTAATTTTGTTTGGCCCAATCAGACATCAGTGGGCGGAGTTAGTGTAAATAGCCTCTGCCAACAAGGCACATCCGTTTACCCTTAAATGGGTTTGGGAGTTTTTCGAATGTCCTATTTTGTATGTCTGGGGAACACACACACACACAGTCTCTAGCCTATATCAGGGGTTCTCAAACTCGGTCCTGCAGAGTTTATCTCTGATCAAACACACCTGAGCAAGCTAATCAAGGTCTTCAGGATCAGTAGAAACTCACAGGTAGGTGTGTTTGATCAGAGATAACTCTGCAGGACAGCGGCCCTCCAGGACCGAGTTTGAGAAACCCTGCTCTATATGATATCTAGGTGAAAGAGTATCTATGTGATGGGATTTATCTGACCTCAGTGCCGCGAGGCCGCTAGCAGACGGTCGGATTAGCCAGTCTGTCTGCTTCCTGACCTGAGCCCCAGACTGTCACGTTTGAGCTCTAAGACTATGAGCCATATTACTGAGAGGAGCCCGTTCTCATCCCAAAGCGCCATATAGGACGCTTTTGCAAAAGCGTAAATATCCAACGCACATGGCACCCTTTAACGTCAAATGAGACGCAGATATATTTGGGCAGAAGGCGCCCCCTAGTGGTCTAACCCTTACCCTACACCATACCTAAACTTAACCATAACCGAAGCGTCTCATTAGACGTTAAAGGGTGCCATGTGCGTTGGATATTTACGCTTTTGCAAAAGCGTCGTATATGGCGCTTTGGGATGAGAATGCGTTGGAATACCACCTCTCTTCAACAGGTCAGGGCTGCCCCAACAACTTTTCCAATTGTCTATGGACCCTACGTTATTCCACGGACACCCAGCCATTGAGTGAGCACAGTCCATCGGCTAAGTGTCTCATTATGGGACGGGGGCCAGAGAAATTTACAGTGTAATATCGTATTTGCGAATTCACACACCTCTTGAATGAATGAATGAGGCATTTATATAGCGCTTTCATATGTACTACTGTAACTCTCTCTCTCCGACCGGTGCCGTTAGTGCCAACGTGAATAATCTTAGAGTTTTTGCGATTAGCATTAGTCCGCACTTGCTTTCAGCAGGATTCAGCAGATTTTCAAGAGGTTTGTTCTGAGATTACACACACACACACACCTGAAGGGGCTTTGTTCTGAGATCACACACACACACACACACACACACACACACAAGGGGGTTTGCTCTGAGATAGCACACACACCTGAGGGAGTTTATTCTGAGATAACGGCCGGATGTACATTATCCGCTTATCACACGGACACCTGTCCTGACACATCAGTAAATAGATCTTATTCAGAGCAGCGCCATGACAGGTATGAAAGTGAGGCTGTGAGGGATAGACGTATGTGTTTCCAATGGCATCCGCTGTAAAAAGCTGAATAAAGCGGCTAGATTACTTACAAATTTCCACAGCTTACATTGTCGGGAGTTTTTTGTCAACTGACATTTCTTGGAAAGATATTTTTCCAGTATTTCATGAGCAGAACAATCCGAAAACACATTAAATAACAGCACAGCCCATTGAAGAGATGCAAGTTTATCCCTCACAGCCTCGCTTTCATTCTCATTAAAAATCAAAGATGGCGCTGCCGTGAATAAGGCGAATAATCAGACACACGGTATTGGTCTGAGTGTAATTTTGACTCTATTAGCTCCTCTTAAACGCAAAGCTTCGCGGAGAGAGAAGCAAGTTCAAACTAGATGGACATTTAAGAGATCATAGCACGAATTATACAGCATTTCACCACATAAATAATTATGGAGACTTCAAATTAAACTATTTTTAAATCACACCTGTTTGTATTTTATAATCCAACACTGTACAAACAACAGTGACAAAATAGATAATAAAATTATAACTTCATGTCAGCTCAGGTCCATTAAATAATATTAAGAGATGCTAACTTTGATTTCAATAATGTATATGTCACGGTGTGGTTCAGGCAGAGGAACGAGGAGTCCGGAATATCGGTAAAGATCAGTTTTAATATATATATAAAACAGGCAGGAAGACGGGAACACGGGCGCCACACGGGCTAACAACAAACATCGACCGACAATGACGGAGTAAAACTGAGGGAACTAAATACACAGATCAATCAAACATAATGGGGTGAAAACAGGTGAAACAGATGATCAAGACGAGGAACAGGTGGCTGATGAGGGAGTGAGCACGGGATAGGGTGACGCGAGGATCCTGGGAAGTGTAGTGCTGAAGACAAGACAGACTGGTGCAGACGGAGGACTGTGACACTATACATAAATGTTGAAATATTTTTTATTGTTAGATCATGTTCACTGATGTGTGTACTGATCACTTGACTCAGGAAACCCATTAAACAGGAGCCGTTGCTTCACTGATGTCATGACTCTTATTGCTGTTGTACAGAATTAAAACTACAAGCATTTGCCAATGTTCAGGAAATCGCACAGGGGAAATAATAGAGGACATGATCAGCCGTGTTGTGGGTCGTTGCTTTCACACATACACAACTTCTTTCCATCCAGCTGTTCATGCTAATCCTGGGATATTGTGTAGAAACACTAGATGAAAACACCAAAACTTAGGCTACGTGCTCAACTGAGGTGAATAATTTGTAAACGCATTTACCAAGTAAGTGAGTTTCGCGATGCGCAGCAAACACTCGTGTGGCTTTCCCTCAGCGTGATTGGATAACTGGAGTAACCAGTGGACCAATGGCGTCGCAGCGTCTCTAATGTTGGTTTGGTGTGAAGTGTGTGATCAGAATGATTGTGTGTAATTCCTCCAGAAGCGTCTCACACAGTTTTAGTTCTGATATTCTGCACCAGTTTCATGCACAGTGATGATTTTGTTCTCTTGAAACGCTGCTTTATTCACAAATGTTTTATGCGATATTCCAATTTTGTGCACGAGTTAAATTCACAACTTTGGATGGAAACACAGCTTGTGCTGCATTACTGACCCTGCATTCGGTCAACATCTGGGCATGAGCTGGTGGCGTGAGATGTTTATGATCTGTGTCAGCTAAAGCTTCATCATTGATGTAATGCACATAAATCTACACACACACACACAGTTCGATGAGTTTGAAACACTGAAAGCAGATGCCAGTTCTTTCCACTACATGATTCTCGTGCTAAAGGATGTGAGGAGTGTGTACGAGCCGGCCTGGCCGAGTGTGAGGGAGAAGTGTGTGTGTGGACCGCAGCAGACGGGCTCTGTAAACCACCTGGAGTGAAATATACAGGGTATATTGAAGACAAGGCTGAATGTACAGGGACATCATTATATAATGAAAGAACAAAATTATTTAATTTGATATATAATTTTTGATATACAGTATATGTATTAAAAAAAGTGGTAAATGTTACCATAAAGAGCTGATACTTAATTTAAAACATGAAAATAACAAACAGTGTCTATTTACAATAGTGTTGTTGACAGTGGCCATTACACCGGTGGAGGACGACAGAGGAAACCTGTCTGGTCACAAGGTCAGTGGCGTGTCGCGGTTTCCCCGGCTCCCGCTCACCATGGCATTCGTGTTGCTAATGCTAATGTTACGCTAACTGTGTTCCTGTTCGCCATCTCAGATTCAAACAATCATCAGAAATGCTTTGAACAATTCTGAACCTCACGGGATAAAGGCATACCGTAAAACCGAGTCCCAAGTAGACGCCTTTCTGTTTTACATGCTTGGTGTGTCTGCAGGTTCGGGTAAATAAAGGCCGGTCTCAAATAGAGGTCGGGTCTGTTTTTTAATTTCTAAATTATTAACCGTCAGATCGCCTTCAAACAACACGAGTGGTGTCTTCATCTGTCTCCATGTTAACCCTCTGATGGTCTTCCTTTATGAGTCACGTCCTGGGCCTTCCCTGTCAGAAGTGACCGGAGGCCTAAAAATGAAACTTCGTCCATCCCAGTAAAACCAATGCAATTTATTTTTGTTCTATAATATTTATTCTTTTTAATTCAGTATTTTGAGACAATTTGATTGAATTTATTAATATTTA